ACTCACCCCGAGGTGTTGTAACCCTGACAGTTGTGCGTGGCACAGCAGCCTGACACTTTGCATAGGGTGACAGGGAGCACTTGCAGAACTGGTGCTTATACGTTGTAATCCTGAAAGACACAGTACAGTCTTAGCCAAGGAGAGCACAGTCAGATCTGGGAGTAATGGAATACATGTGGTGGTGTTACATAATCAGAATACAAAAAAAGTAACTATTTTCCGTAACACTTTATTTTAAGGAACACATGTTGGTGGCTTATTATTTCTTCAATAAAGCCTGAATTAGACTCTTTCAAATGGTTTATTCACTATGTATTAATCTTTATTCATTATGACCCATGTTAGTACATAATTGGAGATCTGTTACATGAAAATCACAAATAGTTGCCTTATTAGTCATTATAGCTCACAATAAGCACTTTCTTAATACCTTGTTATGCTGAATTACTGAGCATGAATTATCACCTAAATTCAGGTCTTTTTAGTGTGCAATTGGCAGCATGTGATTTCTACAGGTTCTAGATATCATCAATACATTATTGCATTGTTGGAGTTTATTTCTTCTTTAGAGCTAGAAAGAGTTTAATTTGTCACTAATACTTCAGGATTTGTTTCATATTCTAAATTGGAGTTATTGTCATCATATAATTAGAGGCTAAAAAGTGCTAAATAGAGTTTCAATAAGTCTATTTGTGTACTATACTCTAAAGTGGAGTTATGGTCATCACTAATTAGAGGCTAAAATGTGATAAACAGGGCTTCAATCATATTCGAAAATGAAGATAATTTCATGATGTTTTAGTAGCCAAAAGAGCTGGAAAAGAAAAAGAAAATGTAAACTGAAAGACTGGCTCAACTGCCAATATTTGAATCTGAGACTACTTAAGCCATAACAATTCTTATTGGCCTATACCAGCAATATTTATAAATTAGCAATTATGAAATTAACTCAATCTGCAAGTAACTACAATTTCCAAACAGGCTTATTAACAGGCAAATTGGCATTACCCCCCAAAAAATGTGAACAGCAAAACCTTTTCGGCTTGATATCTGCAGCTTATTAAAAGATCTTAACACTTAACAGATCTTAACAGATCTCCAATTATGTCAGGCTTTACTGAACAAATAATAATACCTTGATAAGCCACCACCATGTGTTCCTTAAAATAAAGTGTTACCCTATTTTCTAGAAATAAAGAATAATCAGATTCCAGATTACATTATGAAAAATAAGACTAGTAGCACAATAACCTTAAAACCACTTTTACACAGCACTGTTGATGATTCTTTTGGAAGTGGTCGTCTCTTTGCCCTCAAACTTCACTTTATTTATCCAAATAATATGGCTAAGATAATAATTTCTGCTAGTGTCTCTATGGGAGTTGCAATGCTGTGTTATTGTCAAGCTACATTTATGGTGTACATTTATTTTATCGCACATGGTCTCAGGGACATTTCTTGCAAAATCAGTCACAAAGCTACAAAGGGCCTATGATTTTTTTTTTTAATATTTTTGTCAAATGAAAATTTTCAACACTTAAACACAAACTGAAATGTATTTAATTTGTTTGTATTATTTTGAGAATCATTTATTATTTTTCACACACAAGTGATGTGAAGATTGTATTTCCCTTCTATGCAGTTAATCATATAATTACTTTGCATTCAAAATAATATGATCGAGGTGGGTGGAGACCCTCAGGAAGGATGTCACTTAGGTCCACCACCCTCAGTTATTCACAGGAGGTGAGAGGCGATATGAGCTGATGGAAGGAGATCATCAGTCAGTCTTAGTTGCCACCAGTTCTTCTTTATCAGCTTGGTGTGTCTGAGCTATTAGACATATGTGACTCACATGTAGCCCTGCTTTGGGCAGCCAGGAGGTGTTTTTTCGATTACTAGGATTTCTCTCTCTGGAATTGTGAAAGTGACGAAGTTGGAACAGCACTGAGGATCAGGAGGGCCAGTAGGATGAGCTGATGAAGAGGAGAAGAAAACATTCTTAGTTTATGTGTTTTATTACCGTAAACACCAACACACCTTCATCAGCTCCACTACAGCTACACCTGAACACAAAGTACATATTAAATACAGACTGTTCAGGGTTAAACAGTTGTGTCCAAACATCAAAATCTGACTTCTTATTATTAAACTGTTTTAGTTATTCTAAAACATTACCCTGGCCATTTCCAAACTTTTTCCTAATATTCATGAGCCTTTCTCTAACCATTCCCAAATTTGTCCTCAACTATTCCCAAACTTTTCCCTAACCATTCCCAAACCTCTCTCTAACCATTTACAAGCATTACTCTTACTATTCCCAAACTTGTTTCTAACATTTCCAAACCTTAACTATTTCACCTTCTTCATAACACTACAGCCCAAAACCCATCACCCCTATTTTTTTTACTTGTTTTTATATGTACACAGCTTTCGATATATTGATTTTAATTATTGATATTTTATTGTTATTATTGTCTATTCTGTCTCCCTAACTGTACATTATTACTATTAAAGATGAAATGGTTATGCTAAACACAACATTGTGCATCATCCTTATCTCAGATCTAGACTCGGTTTCTGTGGTTCTGCTGATGTGTGTGTGCTCACCGTGATCAGCGTCTGCAGTGCTGCTGTCTTACTCTTAATCAGGGTTGGGATAGCTACTGAAAAATTTGTAGGTAGCTACAATTTAGTTACTTCTCCAGAAAAAGTAGTGGCTACTTTTTAGCTACTTTCAAAGCGTGATTGTCAGAATGTTTATGAATCTCCACCTGACACACCAAACAAGCCCAACTGACAGTGTGAACAAGACACTGCATTTAATCATGAGCCAGAAAGAAAGATACAATTAAAAAGCTGCAAATATACAAAAAGATCACAAAAAGTGAGTTTAAGTGTAACCAGCAATCAAACTCACACAACCAAAGGCGTGATATCCAACAAAGTTTAGACTAAGTAAAGGCAAAGTCAGTCATTCCAAAGTTTTCCTAACAAAAATCAACAAAAATAACTGAATACAAACCAAACAATTTAGTGCAAAGTGTTGTCAACTGCTGAAATAAAACTGTTTTGTTTTGGTCTTTCTTAGCGAGTGTTAGGCTAATGAACATTTCAGTCATTTTAGGTGTATTTCCAATAAATTTGTGTTAACGTTAACTTTATATTTTAAGCTTTAGGCCAAAACAAGTCATGGTTTTTGAACGTATCCCTGCTGAAAAAACCCATAGAAACCCTTAAATGTTTCTTTTGGTTTCTGGTGGTTTTGTAATGTGCTTTGTTTTTAAATGTGTTAATATCACAATGTAAAGGAACCTAATGGATCCTGGTTTAAAATGTTACCAACGGCTGATTCCAGATGCCTTTGATAGTTTCCTAATGGCATCTGAAGGTATTCTGCATGAAAATATAGTGATCTAAATTGGAAACCATGAAGCCAATTCCCTTAAGAAAGCAAAACCATTAGGTTTTAATCCTAATGGCTTCCCTTTTCAGCAGGGTAGACATTCACAGGGTAAATAGTACATGCTACAGCTTATGTGGCCTGGGTAAGGTAATGGGTTTTGTAGACACCCCAAAATCTGACATGAGTATTCTACGGAACGAAATGGGCGACATCGCTCGTATATTGGCAACTGTATCCCTTCCTGAATGGTAATGTGCATGCTGACACATACAACCAGCACAAACACCAGAGATGTTATGAATAAGGTGACCAGCCACTGGTTGAAATTTGAATTGGATGCTCATAATGCTCAACTTTCCTATAAAGACTTTGTTTATATGGCACAATCGTGCTGTCCTACTGCGTATGTGTCCCACGGGCCTGAAACCGCTGGAGTGAAATGACGGCTGTAAATCTGCGGCTCTGCAGTCAAACCTTTCTCTGTTGTGGCTCCACAGCAGAACTAGATTTTTACGTAAAATAAAATAATCCTCCTTTGCTGTAAAATAAAGCTCTGCTGATCGATCAACACACAGTTCTAACACAGTTTTCACAATAAACGGTCTTAAACGCTGGATTTAATGTATAACTGCTAATTCACCCTTCAACCCTGAAGATTAGCGCAAAGACTGCTGGTCACGCAGTGAGACAGACAACCTCGCCTAGCTTGTAGCTAACGAAAAGGCAAAGAGATTTAAAAGATTTAAGACGAGCATTGATAATTTGGAGATGAATGGACTTTTATAAGCACTCAGCTGGTTTCCTGATACATTTAATTTGAACGAGAAACTGTCAAACACCAAGTGAAGTCAGCTTCTCTTTTGCCAGCTTCTTGTTCGAATTTACCCATTCAAATTTAAATTGTCCCGTTTGACCTTGAAAGGTGCCTGAGGCGCCAGAATGTACTGCTGCACCATTTAAGGTGGAACGGAACAATTTGAATGAGAAGCAACTTTAGCCTCATAAGACATTTAGAAGAAATTGTTCTTTCACGGAAGTTTCCTGACTGAGATGTGAGAAAAGTGGCTACAGCTGACCTAATGCCTAAAACAGAGCAAAGTAAGTCTGTGTTTTGTTTATAGTATAATTTTATCATATACTAGCTCATCAGCACATACTGAGACATATTTACAGCCAAGATAGTAAAACAGACATAAAACATTGTGCCTCCCAAGGTGGTTTCATTCTTGTTGAAAGGACAAAACGGCTCTTCTTAACATTTCGGTTGCGATTCCTGAGCTAAGGGGTGATCAGTGCGTGCCCGTTTGCTCGAACTGTCTGCGGCTGAGTCAGGATTACACAGTCGCCACCAGCCCAGTTACTGACCGCGTTCCGTGGTTCATTTTGTGTGGATTGTCTGAAGACTGTAGCGAAATTGTAGCAAAAATTTTTGCTATAGCTACGCAAACATTTGTAGGTGCTACAGCTACTAGCTACATTTCAGAAAAATGTAGCGGGTAGAGCTACTAGCTACTAAAATTGTAGTTAACTACAAAAAGTAGCGCGCTACTTAGCTACTCCCCCATCCCTGCTCTTAATACTGAGACAATGGAAGTGATTCATTTGCATGATTTTATTCTGTTATTTGGATCCACAGCATTAAAAAGCATTGATAATTGATAATGTAAATACATTAATTAATTCAAACAATGTGGTAAATATAGGAGCATCTCAACTTTTCAAGCACTTTGGATGTTGCATTTGGGTTACATAGAAGCTGCAGCACTGAAATCCAGTCTTCATTCAAGATGCCAATCCATTTATTTCGTGCTTGCAGAACTTGCTCTTGGACGTAGTAACCCTGAAAAACACAGATAACACAGTCAGTCTGCATTATAGAGGCTTAGAACTGATCTCTTTTAGCTTAAAGTCAAGACAGTCTTATCTGCTGAAATTCTTCTGAAGGTAGATACTCACACGTAGCCTGGCTTTGGGCATTCAGAAGGTGTTTTTTCAACTTTTATGATTATGTCGGGTGGAATTTTAATATTGCTGAAGCTGAAACAGCACAGAACAGGATGACCAGCACCATGAGCTGAGAAGGAAGATCAGAAAAATGTTTAGTTTATGTTTTTAATTACTGAAAAGAAAAACATGCTTTCATCATCTCAGCAGAACCTGACCACAAAGTGCATTAAATAGATACTATTCAGGGTGAAATGATGCACCTCATTAGGGATTTTCAGTACTCTTTACACTCCTGCTAACAAAGTACAATTATTTCCACCCCTTATTATAATGTGTTAATCTGTGCCTGGATCTGCATGAAGAGCTAAAATGCGTTAAGATGTTATGAACTCACGCTCAGCATCTGAGGAGATGGTCATCAGCAGGACCAGCCCCAGCACCAAACACACACAGCTCATCTTCATCTCCATCTTCTCTGCAGGCGTCTGAAGCTCTGAATGTTTCTCTCTCCGTCTGTATCTCCAGTTTGAGCTGCTGAGTCTCTCACTCTTTCTTTTAAATTCTTACGGTCTATATACAGTCTATATATGTACAATGGTGAAGTTCTTGGCATCACATCATGTCATTCAGTAGATTTATCTGAAGCTCTTAAGCAAGAAATCTTTGCATGACGGCCAATGATTTGTTTTCCACAGATCAGACCTGTTGGCCAGTCTAATCAGCCTTTCTGTCAGCTTTGGTGCTTCTTGGTCATGTTAAATGATGAAACACTCCAGACTCTCTGATAACAGGTTAAAGTCTGGCTTGTGCGACTAAGTTTTCATGTCCTTCATTACACTAGAGCCCAAAACCCAGCATTACTGCTTGTTTTTATATGATGACAGCTTTCAACATTTTTTCCTTTAATGTTTATTCTCTTATCTAAACACATATTATTACTATCAGTCTTGAATAAACACAAATTAATGTGTCATGCTTATATCATTACTTTACTTTTAATGTAAGTCAATGGAACCAGACTTTTTTCCAAGTAATTCTGGGCCGTTTCTTTTGGTCCATTCTTCATGAAATTTACACACAATGTAAAAGTCAACAGGCCCTGCGATGGACTGGCGACCTGTCCAGGGTGTATCCTGCCTTCCGCCCAATGACAGCTGGGATAGGCTCCAGCACCCCACCGTGACCCAGAAGGATAAGCGGTTTAGATTATGTGTGTGTGTGTGTGTGTGTGTGTGTGTGTGTGTGTGTGTGTGTGTAAAGGTCAACAGGCATTTTCAAATTATGTCAAAACCTGAAAAATGGAGATACGAGGTTTTCATCTGACAACAGCGATATGTAACCATTATGTTCTGACAGGCTGACTCTGTCCTGATTGTGAAAAACAGTATGCTGGTACTTAGAAAAGGTCAAGAGCTTGTCTCGATCAGTTCTCCAAAGAATAAGTATTTTGGTGTGGAATAGTTTGCAAAGTCATGGGTTGTTTCACTTCTGCTTTTTGAGGATAACAGGAAAGGCCTTAAAGTTTATGCTAAAGTTTTAACTTATGTAAGCAATTCTAACTGTCAAAACACAATGTGCGTTCCAACCACCCTTGAGTTCCCTGCAAAGTGTACTGCACAGGGATTTCAGACATTTCAAGGGTGACCCCAAACCATGGGGAGTGAAAAAGTTCAGTTGGAAGGGAACTTTAAACATCATTCATTTCAAGTCTCTTATTCCGAATGAAGGTATTTGTCAACTGCAGTTGCCTGAACCGAAATTCAGTGCTCTAGTGTGTAGGGAATGTCACAGTACTGCTTAGGGACCCTGTGGATTGAATTGAAGCTATGTTTTCCCTTAAATGCTACTTCAAAGACTTCTGTTATCCAATCAGGTATTAACTCTTGTTAGGACAGCCATATACAGACTGTACAGGGGTGTTATGGAGTATAAAACCCACTCCCCCTGATCTGCTTTGAGACTGAGGTCATTGTGCCCAAGAAGTCTCTCCCAGGCTCGTGATTAAGAGGCTTCAAATAAAACTCATTTGAGCAAAAGACAATATTGAACATCTGTGAGATTTCTTTAATTTGCAGAATATCCACAATACCTCATCACACTCTAATATAATATTCGTGTAATACTATGGCAATATAAATGATTCACTTGTATGTATGCAGTGCAATGTTTTATTTGAATTCACAGCATAAAATAAGCAAGAAATCTAATTCAGATGTTATTTTACTCTACAAAAGTTTTTGTCATGCATTGTTTTATTTCCACAAAGTTAAAGAAGCACCGATAATATTGAAAAAGCAAAGCACTGATTGATTCATCATGTGATGATTAAAGGGGTGTGTAAAGCTTTTAGCTGTGTCTGGGTTCTGTTGAAGCTGCAGCTCAGAAATCTTGTATTTTCTTCAGGACTACTTCCTCCATGCAGAACATTCTCTTTTTTGTTGTTACCCTGAAAGACACAAATCAAATTTTCTATAGAAACACATTTGTTAACATGACATCATAAAACAGTCTCTATCAGAACAAAACCTTGTATCTTCATTGTTTTAACATGATTTGAAAACAAATTGAAATGCTGCTCATGTTGTACTTATTGCACAGACTATGTTTATACAGATTAACAAAAATGTGTTTTGTTTGTTGTAAGATACAGTAACTCCTGCTGGCTAAATAACTGTAAAATGCCTTGATAACTAGCTCTTGAAGTTGTAATTTAACTAGCTAACATGAGCGAGGAATGTAGTCCCAGTGTGAAGCTGCTACAAGCCTGCAGGGGTTTTCAGGTTCAGGTTCATCATCATTTTCAGAACCTTCTGGGTTTCAGGTTGGGTCAGTTTGAGGAGATTTCCAGTAAGAACCAAGCTGTTATTTTGCGCTGATATTTTAAACCTTTAAACCTATATATATATATATATATAGATATACATATTTGTGGTGGGTCCACCACACCACTGAGCAACAACAACAACACCACTTAAGGGTTAAAGTAACCCTCCCATCCCTGAACACAGTGAGCTGCTGCTGTACGGGTTGGAACTGACCTCCTTTTTCAGTCAATAAAGTCTCCTCTACTGATATTCAATAACAACTGATGTGTTTATATCACAACAAAATTAGCTCACAAATACATCCTCTAATGTTAGATACTCACATATAGCCGGGCTTTGGGCAGTCGGGATGTGTTTTTTCAATTTGTATGATATATTTTTCCAGAATTCTAAAATGGACAAAGTTGAGACAGCACTGACTAGGCTGGCCAGAACCATAAACTGATGAAGAGGAGAAGAAAACATTTTTAGTTTATGTTTTAATTACTGTACAGGCCAACACGCCTTCATCAGCTCCACTACAGCTACACCTGAACACAAAGCACTTGTTAAATACAGACTGTTCAGAGTTAAATGACTGTATATCAACCATCAAAATCTACTACAACTAATTTTCACGACCACTATTAATAATAATAATAATAATAATAATAGCAATAATAATAATTATAGTAGTATTAACAACAATAACAATAATGTTATAATAATATAATACAATTTTTATAGTTATTAACAATACTAGTAGACATAATTAATATTGATTTATTTTTAGTAGTATTATTAATCAGTGACAATTTAAATTAACAATAATAAAAAAAATTATAATATGCTATAATCACATGCAGAACTTTGTTCACCCCCAGTCAAATTGCATGTTCTAAGTCAAAATAAGTTCTCATGCTCTACAGAGAACAAACTCTCTCTGTTTATTTACATTTATTAAATATATTCTATGTTTCCTGTTATGGAGTTAACTTATTTTTACTTAGCAAATCAACAAAACAAATCATTTGACCAGAGCACTCAAACTTTTGCGTAAGACTGTAAGACAGTATCTGTTTTAAAAGCTAGAAAATGTGTTTAGATGTTAAACTCACTCTCAGCATCTGAGGAGATGGTCATCAGCAGGACCAGCCCCAAACCCACACAGCTCATCTTCATCTCCATCTTCTCTGCAGGCGTCTGAAGCTCCGAATGTTTCTCTGTCCGTCTCTGTTAAGGAGGTAAGATGTTCAGGGTTATTTGAGGAAAACACAGAAGTTTTTGGAGGACAGTATTTTCAGTTTTTTAGTTTTAGTATTTACAATGTGAGACTCTTTCTGTCTACAAGGCCAACTCGCTGCGTTTGATCCCGAGGTTCCGAGGCTGATTTGAGGATGGAGACAAAATCGAAACAAAGCTCTTTTTTTTTTTAAATACTATAGGACAACAATGCAAAAAAAGAGAAAAATCCAACCTTTAATTCAAGTGCATTTGTTCAGTGGGAAAAAAATCCCACATTAAGAAATAATTCTTTTACATGAAATCATCTGTGCCACAATTATTGGCACCCCTGATGTTAATACTTTGTACAACCCCCTTTTGCCAACAAGACAGCACGTAATCTTCTCCTACAACATTTCATAAGATGGGAGAATACAGAGAGAGGGATCTTCCACCATTCCTCTTTGCACAATCTCCCTAAATCGTCCAGAGTCCTGGGTCCTTTCCTATGCACTCTCCTCTTCAGCTCACCCTACAGGTTTTCAGTTGGGTTGAGGTCTGGGGACTGAGATGGCCATGGGAGGAGTTTGATTTTGTGTCTGGTGAACCATTTTTGTGTAGATTTGGCCACATGTTTAGGGTCATTATCTTGCTGAAAGACCCAGTGACGACCCATCTTCAGCTTTCGAGCAGAGGCCACCAGATTTTGATTTAAAATGTCCTGGTATTTCAAAGAGTTCATGATGCCATGCACCCTAACAAGGTTCCCGGGGCCTTTGGAAGAGAAACAGGCCCACAGCATCACCGATCCTCCCCCATACTTCACAGTGGGCATGAGGTGCTTTTCCGCATCCTCATCTTTTGTGTTACGCCAGACCCACTTAGAGTGTTTGCTGCCAAAAAGCTCTATCTTGGTCTCATCTGACCAAAGCACACGGTCCCAGTTGAAGTCCCAGTACTGCTTAGCGAACTCCAGACGTTTACGTTTATGCTCGTGAGTGAGAAAAGGCTTTTTCCTTGCATGTCTCCCAAACAGCTTGTTGGTATGTAGGTAGTGCCTGATGGTTGTTATGGAGACTTTGTGACCCCAAGACGCTACTCTTTGATGCATTTCTCTAACAGTGAGCTTTGGAGAACTTTTTACTTCGTTTACCATCCTGCTCACTGAGCGTGGTGGCAAGATAAACTTGCGTCCTCGTCCAGGCTTGTTTGCCACTGTTGCAGCTGTTTTAAACTTCTTGATGATTCCTCTGACTGTAGATATGGGCAGGTGTAGGCCAGTGGCTACTTTCTTGTAGCCATTACCTGACTTATGAAGGTCGACACACATCTGCCTTACTTGAATGGTGTGTTCTCTTGTCTTTCCCATGTTGAAGAGTGGATAAGAGAAATAGGCCTCTGTGTCATGTCATATTTATACCCCAGGGAAACAGGAAGTGATGAATTACTAAATAAAGGTTCTGATCAACTTTATAAACTACAGTAAAAATGACAGAAATGCTTCAATTACATTAATTTTTTTAGGAATTGT